CTGAACCTCAGCAGGAGAGCTAAGACGGTGCACCCCAGAAACAGCTGCCAAGCATCCTGACTTGAACCACTGCTAGTGAGGATTGCTGAATGGATACAGACACAGTCCGTTCTCCGAAATGCAAAAAGTCTATCACAGAGGCGGTTCCCCCACGTCAAGCACAACTCTGCCAATGGATGGATGGATTCAGAAAATACTTTGGTGCAAAGACTGGAAACATATGCATAAGGCAGATCCATTGAGGGCTATTTAATCACTAAACTGCATTAGACTCTGGAAATCCCTCGACCTGAAAAGAGTCAGAAGCTGGGAGAGTACTTAGGAAACATCCCTGGAGGGGTTCAAGGCCAGGCTGGATGAAGCTTTGAGCAACCTGGGCTGGTGGGAGGTGTCCCTGCCCATGGCAGGGGGGTTGGAACTCAGTGATCTTGAAGGTCCTTTCCAACCCAAACCATCCTGTGATTCTATGAAAGAATCGCCCATGCTTGCCCTCTTCTCAGTCTTCCCTGGGTGACTGCTCACAGCCTGGGCTGCGAGATACAGCACTGGCCTAGAGAGAGACTGGGACAGAGTTCTGAGCCAGCGAGGCTGCTTTACATATACCTTGTGTATAAAAAAACCACTACATATCACTTTAATCTATCTGAACCATGGAACTATTCTAGTGAAAAACACTACAGGTCATGCAGAGATGCTCTGCCATTCAGACCAGCAATGGGCAATGAAGTTCCAACACGGTATGTGCTGTGTGGCTGTTACCACACCAGTGTCACACAGAGATCCTGGAGAACGGGAAGTAAGGGAGGTCTCAAGTGCTGACGAGACTTCTCTGTGGACAGCTAAGAGCTGGCTCAGCATCACTCAGCCCTCCCATCCAGGAAAATTAGGCAGCTCCAGTCCTAGTGCACAAACAGGTAAAGAGGGACACTAGGTGATAAAACAATTTGCCTGTGGATGCTCAGTAAGTCTAGATGGGATTAAAACCCTTCTACCTGTTTTTTTTTCCAGCATTAAGATCAATGTTCGAGGTCACCACTGCTTCAAGGTTCAGAAAATACAGCACATGTAGAAGCTGAGCCAGATTTCGGATCTGCAAAGCTACAGAGACCTCTCCTGACTGTAACACGGGACAATTACAGCTTCTGTTTCCTGAAGCAGGACCTCATTTGAACAGCCAGAAGCCACAGTTCACGTGCTGCAGGTTAAATCTTGTTCTTTATCCTACGGACCACAGGTTAACTCCCTTACAAAATTTGTGGTGGGGAACCAAGCCAACATAGCCTGGCAGTGCTGGTATGGGAGCTCCTGGGGGCTTCGCAAGGCTCTCTGAGCAACCAGCTCAGGTTCTGACTGCAAGGGGCAAGATCTGGTGACAGGGGACAGCCTCCATTCAGTCCTTAGCCCACCTTGGTTTCTCTCCTCTGACGATGCCCCCTGCACCTACCTTGCAGAAGGCACAGTGGGTCCAAGGAGTTGGGGTCCCACTCCCACAGACACGTGGGACACCCTGCCAGGCTCTCCTCCTCCAGGAGCAGCCCAGAGGAATGCTCACCCCTTTACCTACAGCACCCTCCCACCATCAGCGTACAACGGCATCCCTTCACTGAGATCAAGACTTAGCTACATCAGGGCACAGGAGGTCTCCAGCTCTGAAAAATATCAGTTAATTCCCTAGCAAGATCTAAAACCAGCAAAACAGGAAAGGATCAAAACCCCTCAACATAAATTTAAAATACATGCTCTCTTCCTACCAAAGGATTGGGGACATGGGACATTGCAATTCTTGGCATCCGCTTAGATGAAACGCCAAAAATCAGTTAAGTCTGAGTAATTTATACTGTCAAAGTTCAATACATATTCAACACGTATATGCTTTCAAAATCACTAAGCAAGAACAAAGATCTGTATCAGCTTTATCACTTACGCTTGGCATAAACATCTCGACAGGACACTCCTGTGATCTCCAACTTCCGCAGGTTTTCACAGATGCCATACTCTGCAATGACACAGATAATAACGTCAACTCTGGCACAAAGGTGTTTGCTACCCGTGATCTTGGTATCTGCTGTTTGAGCAGAAATGAAATCTTATTAGGTGCACACAATAGTCCAAGAATCTTATTGCTGCTTTGAAAAGAAAACCAGATGTAATTATATTGCAGTTTGGGAACACATTTCACAAGCAATGCCTGCAACAAACACACCATAAGGAACATGCAAACACAGCAGAGATACAGATGCTTGCACCCAGACCAGAAAGAGCGTGAAATGTGGAAGGCGCGCTCATTCCAGCTGGGATTGTATGCCCGTTTAGATCAAATCATGATTGTGTGCAGTAATTATCTACTCCCACTGAGGTATCCAACTGGGAAAACTGCTTATTAGGATCCTAAAGAAAAGGTCACAGACTTTAAAAAGAAGGAAAAGGAGACATAAAACAGGCATCAGCATGTACAAATATGGTTACACTTGAAAGCAGATCAGATTGAGATGGGTCTGTTGTACGCTCAACCGCCTTTGATTGCTTACAGAACACCCTGAAAACAAAGCAATCCCGAGATCTTAAAGGCAGCTTTGAAGCAGAAAATGAGATTCTCTCATTCCATTTTCAGGAAGTCAACGCTGAACTTCTAAGAAACTTTAAAAAAAGAAAAGCAAGTACTACCGTCTCAGTGCAAGACATCCTTAGAAGATCAGAGGGAGGAAATGAGAGGAGGGAGATCCCAAAAAATCATCAACAACAAAAAAACACCCTGCTGCAGTGACCCCGTTAGATCTCAGTATGGAAAACTACCCTCCTCGACATCAAAGACATCTATGCCACAGATCAGACAGCAGCTTTCCCCAGCAATACCAAACACCTGCCAGATATTTGACACAAAAGCCTATCTGTGAAGACCCTCATCAAAGCATTAAATACTAATCTTATCCCTGGTCAAGCTTCCTTGAATTCACAATCTACCGTGGCTGCCAAACACCACTGCGTAACGCTGGTAACCTGCCGAAAACTGCAAATTCATTTTTCATATAAGAGAAAAGCAGAAGTTTCCCTGAATGAATCAACTTCCTCCTGTACACTTGCGGTACACCCATACGATGATAAAGCACCGCAAAGCTTACTGTCAGCCCGCCTACGGGGAATACACGTTCTGCAGAAAACCACTTTGGGGAAGCAGCAAGTTCAATAGAATTAAGAGTGGGCAGAAGGGAAAACAAACTCATTACCCTTCGTTAAAAGATGCAAAGGTCAGTGGCAAAGTTTCTGCTGATTTCTGTTAAGAAAAGCCAGAGGAAGCTCTAAGTGTTATCAAACACCAGGCGGGGGGGAGGAAGCACAGTTAGAGAGCAGACAGAGCCTGCCCGAAGCTCCAGCCAGCCAGCACAAAGATGCTATTTAGTGCTCGGCTGCAGCCAGCAGACCCAACACAGCCATCCTGCGGATCTGTGAAACCAGAGCTCTGCTGGAGGCTGGAAATTCATCCCCACTGTGCAGGTCACCCTGCTCCTATCCCTCCTGCCAGAGCTATCAGTGCTTTCAGCCACTGGTCTGGGGATCTGCACCAGTGGGTGTGTGTTCGGTAATTCCACCAAAGGGACAGAGGGAACAGCGTGTTTCCTCAGCTGATAGAGATCTTTGTAAGATGACAGAAGCAGTGTGGTCAGAGCCAGCTGTTTGCAAAGAGCCAGCTCTCTCCCTGTAAACAAATCCTCACCTGGCCAGGGAAGCAGGCAGAGGCACGCTGTGCGCAGCAGGCATTGCAGCGTGATTAAACTCGGTGTCACGGAAGATATTTATATTGCACCAGAAAGGAAGGAGGCACGCGGAGGATCCTGGTTGCTCTCTAACAGCGGTACCAGCACAGTGACGTCCTCTCTTGCTCCAGGACATGCAGATTTTTCCCAAAGCACCTTCCCTGGCAGATGTGTACATCACTCCGAGTGCAGTCTCAGTGCAGTGGCACGATAGAGACACCACCAGCAGGTATCATGACACAACAGGGTGCGCTGGGAAGGGACTTGATGTTAAAGCTTTATCCCAATTACATACAAGTGCCCTTGATAACCTGCAGTGAAATGTTATGAAAGCCAAAGCACTCCTAAAGGTGCTTTTTTTTTGTAGTAGTTCAAATCTTTCCTGAACAAATTCAAAGTTATTCCAAGTAATAGCAAGCTCCTTTAAAAAAAAAAAGACAAAAATTTTGAATTTCGATATTGCTACACACTAACATCAGACATCCAAGGCTTAGAAAGAATTATCAAGGAAAAAAAAAAATCTAATTTCAGTGTGTTTTCACACTCATCAAATTTTATGACAACTAGTCCTCACCCTGTTTTGTTCAGCAAACAACTACAAGGAGCCAAAATCCCAGAGTGATGGCTTAGCTCTGGGTAAGTGCATCACTTAAGCTCTTCTGACCCATGAGCTGTTAACACCACGACAGCCGCTTGATGGGAAAAATCAGTCTCTTGTCTCATAGCACCTACAAAACCTCCTAATATCATAAGCAAGAAAGCTGGCCGTCTCCCTTTAATCCAGAAGAGGGACATAAAATTAAGTAGAGCTTCAAGATAGTAACAGAAAAATAAACTGAAGGTTTTCTTTACATAGACTAGAAAGCCTTTTCCAAGAAAGCTTTGAAGGGCTCAAGCTTCCTGGGAAATTCCACTTGGGTACAATTAAGTCTATTTTAAGGAAAGGTATCTCAGTGCAACAGCTCACCCAGTGAAGTATTTTAAGGAGTTAATAGTCACAGAAATTCACACATTAAATTTATACCGTTAGAAAATCGCTACTTAATCCTGCTTCAAAAGCAAGGTTGGAAATTGGTTTTCAAGTTCTGAGTTGAGCAGCTGGACAGCCTGTTTTACGAGGTTTATAAGGAGTGCTTGAAGGATTTACCCAACACAAAGTGACACAGTGCTGTTTCCATGGTCACACACGCTGGAATTTAAAGGCTGTGGAAAGGCAGTCTCCATTTCTGAGGAACTGCACTAATACTTCTGTAATTTACTCCCTGGCCAGCTCCCACCATATGCTCTTCTAAGCCTCACGTTCTCTTCTCTCCAAGAAGCCACAGCACACACCTCCCTCTCTGCAGCCTACACACGCTGAAAAAAAAAAAAAAAAAACAAACAGCACAAAACAAACAAACAAGGGTCTTTAAATTCAAGTAGGGAAGCAGCCCTGTTCCCATCTCCAGCCCAAACTCCTGCTTTTTCTCTCTCAGCACGGCAATGCCATTAAGCAGCTGCAAGCACTGGATGCGGACATCCGCAATTCAGAGGAAATTAGGATGTCTGGTAGAGCTCAACACCCTTAGCGCTGCTAAATCTCAACTGTGCCCTGGCTAATCAAGTCCTCTAATTATTCCTCAATAAATGCTTGTTTGCAAGGCTGGACAGAGAATAAAAGGCAGAGAAACTTACTGGGTTATTTCAGAGACCACAAAAAGAGGAGATTCTTAGGCTAGCATCTCCGAAATACCAGGTGGATAAGTTTGGAACACCAAACACTTTCCCAAGCACTTCTCCCAGAGGAAGGCTTGTTGTTACCACCGAGATATTTTGCAGCCACAAATAAGGAGTGGAGCAAAATGCAACAAATGGAAGTATTTGCAGAAACCCCAAAGCAAAAGATGGATAGCTTCAGATCTACAGCTTACAGACACATTGAAGGAAGATGCTCTGAAAGATGGCTACGGCTCGTGAGCACCTGCTGTGAGCAGCGAGAAACAACCGCTGGCTTTGAAACGGCACCTGGACAAAGAATATGGACAGAGATGAAGAAAACCCCACGGTGGTTCACCAAAGAAACACACTACCCAGTGGTTTAACCTCCCATAAAGCGAGATTAGAGCCTTGTGACTTATTAAAACCACCTTGGTGTTTACTAGGGTGCAGCACAACAAGAAATCGTTCCTGTTGCGGGAGCAGTTGTACATCAAACGCCTGTGGGGATTCTCCAGAGTCTTGTAAGAGCTGAACTCCATGCAACAGTCCCCTCGTTGAGTGTATAAACCAGATTTCCCGTTCTTCCCACCTCTTTCTATAAAACTTGCTGAAGGTTAGCACCTTTAAAACCTTGGCTGACATTTTTCTGCAGGTCTAAAAGCAGTGGGAGGTTGTTTTCACAAACAAAAGCCTTTTCATCCAAGTTCTATATCTGGTTATTCTGAATTACTGGTCAGTTTCCAGGTGCTCTGCTGCACTCGTGCTCTTTTATTTTAAGACGAAAGCGGTTACCATCTCAAATGGACTATTGGGTGTTAATCAAGGTAGGTCAGGCCACCAGCCAGGGTGAAACACACTTTAATTCAGCTCCCACTGCAGAGATCAGCAATCTCCTATTTATAGAAAACATGACAATGACTGCAATCCTCTTCTTGCCAAAGCAGCAATTCAGAGACACTGTTGACCCCAAACAGCTGCAGTAGCCCTAACAGCAGTGCCAGCGTTACACAACTGCTTCTGGTGAAACCCAGCACGGTTCCAGTTCACCACCACCAGCAAAAGCTACTCCACTTCCAGGAAGAAAAGCCCTTGGGATGCTTGTAGTAATCAAAACGTGTTCTCAAAAACTGGCCCACAGCAGTGCAAGAACAAGATATGAATGCTCAGCGGATTGAGTGCCCCATCTGACCTGGGCGATGGCCGCTCTTTTCCTTACACTCAGCGCTGCTCCTGTCCAAGACGGAGGTAGAAAATGGCTAAAACGAAGCACACAGCCCTCACTCTCTTTCTAGGCCATGCAGCTTCACAAGAAGACACATTACTACACCACGCTTAAACTCAGGCAGATACCAGCGTACACGTAAAAACCATCCTCAGCTGGGAAGTGGCTTGTTTTGGAAAAAGATAACAGAAAGTAATCACATTTTATGTTTGACTATCATGGAGTCACCAAGTAGGACTATACAGAAACACAGCACAGGACATCCTAACTTTTACACGTGTATTTATATACTAACACCTGATGTCCGTACACATAC